CTCAAACTCCCTCTTAGTCTTAGGATTTCGACTATTCGAGTACCAACAACAGGGTAAGCAACACCCTCTCAAATTTTGCGATTGAGTTTTTGATTCACCATCTTTCTAGAGGCAAACCTCCAACACAGTCTGCATTACAGAGGCCGCTACTGACATCCTGATTAGTGGTGATATCAGTGGCATCACCATGACCAACTCTCTCATTGCGTGCCGTCACTGATTGCATTACAGAGACTGGTCTGCCTTTTGGGTCTGACACTCTGACCAAGTACCTGATTCTTGGCAAACTGCGTCGTGAGGTGAGATGGGTTGGGCTGCAAGTTCCCTAGAAACTGAGAATACGTCTTCATACTTGACCCAATATCAAGTAGAAGCTACTCTTACAGGTGGTGGGGCAATTCAAACGTGACCCAATAACAATTGGGAAAGCACTCAAAGCAACAACGGTAACAGTGGGAGATATTCCGGTCGATAAGATCGATGCTGCTGCAATCCAAGCAGTAGAATTGAGAGCCACGGGGATAAAATATCATCGGGAGGTGTCGGCGCCGTTGCTGCTCAATGATCAGCAGCTACTGTCAATGTAAAGACTATGCGCCATGAGGAAAAGATTAAGTTGGGGGATGTTTCATCATTAAATAGGTGATAAATGTAAGAGATGTGAATATTTGTTTTTTTTACCATATAGGATGCAGCGATAAAGTCACCAGGAAACAAACTGCTTTTCCTTGAAAATGGTAGAGCAAAGCTTGTCGGATTGACAGAAGTGAAAAAGAAAGGAGAAGAGGAGAGAGAAAGAAAGGGAGAAGAGGGTGACTGCTAGAACGAGAGAGGAGGATTGCTCCGACCAGCGCCTCCACGCCTTCACCCTTGCTCCGACCTTTTCTCTCTGTAGGGGTTTACATACCCTTGCTCTGACCAACGACGGTGGATATCTGGGTTCCTTGGAATAGTAAGAGTATAGTTAGTCAATTTCTTAAACTTAGGGGTAGTTTAAAAAATTTGCCCATAAATAATCCTATTAAATTCAATCCCCCTACTGAATTTTTACTTGAAGTTTCATTTTATCTCTCATTCCTGTGCTAAGCATGGGTTACTTTGCTAGTAGGTTGGTTAATTTGCTTGTGCTAAGCGCAACACCTTTACATGATTATCTCTTGCACCACATTTATTCACAATCTGATTGTGAAGGATGCTTCTTGATTTGCTTTCAGATCTCTCAAAAAGAACATTCAAAACAAAAAGAAAAATCAATTGATCCACCTAAATAAAAGATGCAGAGAAATTTCAATCCACCCGTTTCGGCCATGAAAGAATGAATAGTCTATTCTCTCCGGTTAAGGATGTTAACACAAAGGGTGGGGTAGTTGTTTGTGTTCGTGAGTGGTTGAGTGAGGAAGCACTATCGAATGTTCATGATGATGGAGGGATAATAATTTGGCGCATGTGGCCATGAGATGACAAATTTAGCCCCATTTGCAATTCATGTGAATGTTGAGCTTGTCGTGCTAGGGTGCCAATTGGTACGTCGGCTAGTTAGTCTCAACAGATATGCGGATTGAAGTTTCTGGTTGGCAATTGTAATCACTTCTCCTGAAAGTAGATCCTATCTATTAGAATCCTCTAACGGGAGACATAAAAAATGCCAAAATACCTATATAGTTATTTTGACCAAAATGTTTATTTTACAAATGTTCTGTAAATTTCTAGCTAAAATCTTTTCAATCTTTTTTTTTTTAAAATTGACTTATTTTTCAAATTTGCCCTCCATATTAATCTTTTAAATGTAAATTTGCAACCTTAAGTTCTCTATTTTTCTGTTGTTTATAAAGTTTGTATTGTTTTTTTTTTCTTTTTATAGAAATCAAGCTCAATAGTAATTATATAGGTATTTTGGACATTTCCATATCTCTTTTAAGAGAATTCTACTAGGGGATCTATTTGCAACTGTCATAAAGTTTAGGGGAGGTAATTGCAAAATTGCAATCACCAAACTTGATGGGAGATTTCAGAAACCGCCAGAATTAGGAGAGGTTTCAACAATTTACCCTAGAAAAGGGTACCATTAGCAATTTGCTTTTAGCCACAAAGTAACATTTTTTATTTTGAAACCTGAACCCAAGCCACGTGGCTAGTGGGATGGCGATTGAGGAGTAATTAAAGTGATAGTAATTAATTATTGAATATTGGTCGTGTGAGTATTGAAACAAAATACATAGATGTGGCTATCATATGGTACCAAAAAGCCTTGATATTAGATATCATATGGTACTACTCCCATTCCAATGCTATTAGATAGAGCTCTAAATATGTTCACAGAAATTCTTGATGGGAATAAATTCATTACCTGTACCACATCTCACAAGTGGTATAAACAAATCAATTGGATAGTTCCAAAATATGGTTTTATCAAAATAAACTTTGATGCCTCTCACATTAGTGAAGGAAAATGTTCAGTGACTTGTATAGTCCGGTACCATCTTGGTAAGGTGCTAGCAGTCAAAGCATATAAATTTGGTATTTGTTCCATTAACCAGGTTGAAGTTTGGGTTGCATGGGAAGCCCATGTTCAAGCTACAAACTTTAGGGAATTTCCTATCATCATAGAAGGAGATTCGTTTCTTGTCATCTCTTGCTTCAAAGGAAAGGTAGATATTCCTTGGAATCGGGAAGGTACTATCTCAAGCTGCTTATGGAAGAGAGATTTGTTTAAATGAGATCTTCACGATCAACATGTCTACAGAAAAGCAAATCAGGTGGCTGATTGGCTAGCTTGGAAAGCTATTTCTTCTTCTTCTTCTTCTTCTCTAGATTTTAGCATCTTATTTCTTCCCCTTTCTTTTCTTCTTATTTGTTCTACTAACTTTTGGGGACATACTACCCCCCGTTGTGTGTAGTACATTTCAGTTTATTTTTTTAAAAAAAACCTTGATATGATATGTCATGCAACAGTGGTAACCATTAGGGTTGTCAATGGACCAGATATTGGTCCAAACTGACCTAATCCAATATGAGTCCATTAGAGGTAGATCAAGTCCAATCCAATCTGATGAAAACTTGGTCTATTTTGGACTGATCCAATTCAATGTTTAAACTAAGACTGCAATCAAATCAAACCCTAATTGAACAATTTATGTTTGAATTTGATTATGATTTTAATTGAGTTTGAATATTGAGGTAAACTTGATTAGTTATTCAAATATGAGCTTTACTAATAAAAATTTCAATTCAAAAGCTCGCGAACCTAGTTCAATTAATATATATTATGAAAACATATAAAAAATATATTTTATAATATATATTACTATAGAATATAAAAATATATTTTGTAATATATATTACGAAAATATATTTTTATGTAAAGTATATTGTATGTTCTATGTAATACAAGAATATACTATATATTATAACATATAAAATATAAAAATATATTCATTTTCAAGCCTTTGAACCAAACTCTAGTTCACTAAATATTTAATTGAATTGGACTTGGACTAGGAAATAGAGTTCTAATCGAATTTGAACTTGATAGTGTTTTAGTCGAACTGAGCCAAGACATATAGAAATTTGACTTGACTCAGCTTGATTGTACCCTTAGTCCGGACCATTCAATATGTTCATTAGTTTTTAATTTATATAGTGTTTGATTCCATTGTTGTTTATTAGAAAATTAAGGCTAATTCAATACCAAATAGGTGTTTCCCCCAATGGTCATATTCCCCAACACCTAACGCTTTTTTACTATTTAGTGTACGTGGCACCTTGTTCTGGTTTTCAAGAAAAAAATCCTTACAAAACATTTAACAAATAAACCCCATCGGTACAAAACATCTCATTGGATCAACCCAAATAAATTCATTGCAAATGGATTAGATCCAACCTAACCCGTAAATACTTTGAACCATTAAATCTGGATTGGTCCAATTCAATGTCTTATTGGTCCTTCCAACTAGGAGTGTCAATGGACAGTTTTGGATTGGACTTCGTTTAAATCAGAATCCATTTGGATGGATTGGACGGACCAATAAGACATATTGGATCAGACCTGGTCCATCCATAATGAATTTATATTGGATTGAGCCAATATCTCTGATACATTGATAAAAGATAAGAACATATATATCAATGGACCAAATTTGAATTAAAACCAATCTAAATTAATAGAAATTTGATCAGATTAGACAGTCTTTGGACCAATCCAAAATGATCCAAAATATTCATTGGACTGGACTTGATCAGGTCTATTTGTAATGGACTTACATTGGACAGAACTGGATTGGACCAAATCCAATCCAATTGACACCCCTACTTGCAACCAGGGGGCGGAGCCATGCCCCGCATACATGTTTAATAACTCTTGGCTCTCCCATCCCGTAATTCATGTTCATTAGTTTTTGGCCCCTCTAACATAAAATCCTGGCTCCGCCCTCCCTTCCAAATTGATTTTGATTCGGGTTATGCCGGGTCCTTCCAACCCGTTCACTAAGACGACTATAACCTTGTCAGGTTTCAACCACCTGTTCTTTTTGTGTGGTCGAATAAATGTCTTGTGTTGTGGTCGGCGGATCCGGATTCGTTGGGTTCGGGCTAACCTGGTCAGATTGGTTGAGTACATTTTTAATCCGGTACAAGTGCGAGGAATGAGTTGAGTGGTGTACAATTTCTTTTGCATGGATAGTTGAAGGGTGTACGATGCGCCTTTAACTTGTATCTCCAAGCATTTATCTCTCTTCTTTCCCCACACGTCTTCAGCTTTTCCAATACAAGCAAAGGTCAAAAGGGATTATGGTGGGCCTGGGGCTGGTGGGCTGACCTCCCAGTTCGACACGAAATTATGTCTACACGTTCTGCATGCAATGAATTCCCATGTGTCATACGTGCCCATTTTTGGCGGGTAGGAGGGGAAGAGCACCGAACAGGAACCGTAGGCCTCACGACTATTTTATTAATATTTTTGTTGTTATAAATATAATACAAGCACTGGGTTTGTTTCTCCGTTTATTTATCGGTTTTCTGGTACGGTGGCGGGCGTCAAACCAATCTCTCCTCTTCTTCGGCGATCAACACGCCCACCGCTCCAATCCGCTTGAATTTCATTATCTTTCGAGACAGGAAAAAGGGAAAGCAAAATCCTTCTAGCGATCGCTCTCTTGATCGTCTTCGGCCGTCCGATTGATCTACTAGCCGGCGTTAACCTGCAACTAACGTTCAAGGTATGCATTTCCGGCGAAACTTTTGTCCTGTTGATGTTCATCGGGCGATGACCAATTATCCTTGAGATGGTTTAATGCTTTAAATGCTTTACTTGTATTAGATCGTTGAAGTTTATGTTTATGCTCTTGTCAAATTACCTTTCTGCGATTTTTTTTTTGTTATTTTCTAAAGATTATGTTTTTTTTTTTACCAATTGGCGCCCTTTCTTATGTCCGGTCGGTTTTATAAAGCAAGTATCTTGTATAGCCATGTAATTTGATTCTGGAAGTTATTTTCTCCTTCCGGCTTGGAGGACTTGATCCTTTTGATAGTTTAATTTTTTTGATGGGCATATCTTTTTGATAGATTAGTAGAGTGATTTTTAAAGGATCGGATTATAAGTTCTCAATTTTGTTATCTGGTGGGGATTTACCCATTGGTGGAGCCTCAAAACACACAAAGAAAAAGAAATCGGACGCTTGGCTGGTATTAGACTCGTTAATTTTGAGTTCACAGTGATCGTGTATATAATGCTTTAAAGGTTTTTTTTTTTTTCCTTCTGCTTCATGGGGCTACACAACGGGGGTAGGCCATCCCCCAACCCTGGTGGCAGTGGGATTTGAGCCCAGGTCTCTGCTATAATGAGTCAGAGATCCTACCAACTGAGCCACCATCAGGGAAAAGTTACTTCTTTATTTACGTTTTTTATTTCCATAGATGTGAACATTTAGATGTTTGTTATGCCTTTGGCAATCTAGGACCCAATTTTCTGTTTTGTCATCAATCATTTCTCCAGTGTAAGAAATCAAACTGAAAGAGTGGCATTCGGAATGAAAACTGAAGTCCCTCCCTTAAAAAAAAAAAGAAAAAAAAACAAAAGATGGATTATAAACCAACATATAAAGAAGAAGGATCTGATCCATCTTCTAGAGCACGAGATGGATGACACTTACTGATATGAGCTTGCAATCAGTGTCGAAACTAAAACAACTTACTGTATTTCTGTTCCAAATCATACTCTTAGAGTGCAGGATCTTGTCCTTATTCTACTTTTAGGTCCTGATTCATTTCTGAAAATAACTTGTAAACAGGTACTGAACATCATGACAAATATAATTTAGTGTAAATTGCAAGTACCCTATCTGTGGTGTCTGAAAATAACAGATACTTTCAACTTTTTGATATTAGAATTACTCTTAGTAAACTCATAAAGAGACAGACGATGGCATAAACTCTAAGACAGAGGATTCCTCAATGGTATTAACTCTAAGAGTTGCAGAAAAACCAACTTCATTCAAAATGTTATTCTTCGCCAACTCCAAAATGAAAGAAATATAACTCTCTAAAGTGAAACGAGAAATCCTAACCCCACTTGATAGTTATCCAATCAAATAAAATATAAAGAAGAGCACAAAATATCTTATAGGCTTCATAGTATTTCTCGTCTAGGCCCTTATTTGTGGGTGTTGATACCGGGCCACAAGTAGTGAGCTACCGTTATGCAAGAAGAAAGAAAAGTTTCTAAATCCACTAGATTGTATTGATCCTTGGTGGGTGGCTCCAACAGATGTCAAAGAGTTGTTTAGTACAAATTGTATGAGATGCACCACAAGTCTATATGCATTCCATTGGTATCTTTTATGCAATATGATGGAAGGAGGGTATATATAAATGTCAGTTAACCTAAGTGTAGGATAATTTCAGAAACCTGCAGTGATTATTTGTTATTATTGGAGACCACAGGTAGAGTATCTGTACTGAGTAGATTTTAGGCTTCCTATAATTTAAGCGGGTTATATTTTTATATGCTCTCTTTTGCATTCTTTCATGTATTCTGTGTGTTTGTGGAATAAAGAATCTCACTATGAGTAGTTATCATTTTGTTAACTGGTATACGGGTTTGTGCTAGTGACGTGTTTTATGTCTACCAAGTTAATTTTGTTGCATTTTGTATCAAGGCTTCCTCAAAGGACATTCCAGGGTTATCAAAAATATTATTCTCATTGTTTTCCTTATGTGTTATTAGGAATAGTTGCTTTCAATGAATTTGCAGGTTCATGGGGAAAATGGTTATCCTGCTTAGTCATATGCAGCCTCCTTTTAGCTCCATTGTTCTGCAGATGTATACGAACAATGATGACTATGATGATTTGGAGATGTCTAGTTTTAGACTGGGATAATACCTTTTTTTTACCAGGTAAAAAAGGTTGGTACTCTATCTCGCCATCTTTGCTCCCTCCTCCACAAAGAAGGCATATTCCTCCCCATGGTTAGAATACACAATATTTTCATTATTTCAAATTATATTCTCATAGACTTTATTAGTAACATGATTGAAGATAGAGTTGTTTTATCAACTTGAGTTCTGTAGGCTGGTCTTTACTGTTTTTCCCATGCCTCAGATCCAATCTTTTCCAGTTACAATATAGCTTTACCTTCTGAAGCAATTTAAGGCGTGGTTCTACTACCATGCATTATTTTAAACTACAACAGGTTTTGCATCTTAAATAGGAGGTTCTTCACTTTAAGGCCTATCCATAGAACATTCTCATTTAAAGGATGGCTTGGTTGATGCCTTTCTTATTTGCAGTCTGCAGCTGAGTTTGTGGGTTTTATGCGCTGTGATGATGGTCTTCCCTGGGACAGTTAGAAAAGCATTTGGTTTTCTGAAATCCCTCTCACTATTTGAGAGAAGTCTCAAATCTCTATACACTTGGCTACACAAATATAATCAGTAGAGATAATTCAAGATTATCTTGACAGTTCATTGAATGATCTATTATTACCTTTCTCACATGGACTGTTGTTTCTGCTATGCAATACTGTTTGGTTGAGGTATTTTACTGAGTTGCAATCTTCTTATGACACTTGTAGGAACATCAATGTGAAGGGTATCATAGTAAGGAGCCTAGGCAACATTTTTAGGGATTTTTCACCTGACATCTAATGTGACAGTTGATTATGTTTCCTGCTTTGGTGCTTTTCTGTGGCCTTATCAAATTCCTCAAATGCTTGTTGTTTTATGTTCAAATCTAGGCATGAGAATTCTTCCTAGCTTTATCTAGTAAGTGGTATTTTGAGCTAGGATTAAGAGATACAGCATGAACAATCATCTGGTTTTCCTAAATTCATGTTATCGTAGAAGTGTCACAATAGCTGAAATGGTGTGGGATGATGAATTTGTGTTATTGAGCTCAGTTGCTTTATGCACTCTAAGCCTCTAACGATGCTAGAATTGCTAAGGATATGAATTTTATTTCCCCCAATAAAAAAAGAAAAGACAAAATAAGAAAAAAATCTTGAAACATCTTGTTGCCTTTCAGTTGGATTAAATGCTTGTGAATTGTCAGGTTCCAAAATAATCTTATCAAGGAAATGCATTGTAGAAAATTGTTCTGAGTTGGTACAGGTGGATACATAATCCGCTCCTTACATTGTGATTGTTCAACTCCACAGTGTGAACACATTGTAGCATTGTGGTGAGACCTTTGATGCATTAGTTAAAATGACCGTCACTGTGTGCATGGAATCACAATTACATTTTCTAAGCTCTATTATTTTTTCCTTGATTTTTAAGTTCTTATGGAAAATATTGGAAAAGTAGTATCTCCATTATGTGAATTTATCATCTGGAAGAAATGATAAGAATTGAATTAGTATGACCTTCTGGAAGTTTATCTTCTTGTAGCTAGGATTTCATATATGGTGCTGAAATATGATGATGCTGACAATCACAATAATTACTTTCATCCTGTATTGTTTACATGGGAAACAGGTTTTCCAGGAATCCACAAATAGAACTCATACCAAGGCAAGTAATTCTGTTAATGGTCAGAATATCCTTAGCAAAGTTATGTCAGCTTGCTGTTTAGTATTAGATCTTTGGAATAATTGATAAGATGTTAGTAATAAGTTTTGTTCATGTTATGACCTATGGTGTGTGTTTTTGCCTTAGTGAACTCATGCTGTGTAGTCTTCTTGAGTGCAAGGCTTTAAGGTTTTGGTTTAGATTTTACATTTCTATTGATGAAAAGGTGGTTGTCCTTCTAGAATCCTTCTTTTTTCCCTCAATATGTCAGAAATTTTTTAATGGCTTTTGAGTTTACAGTGATGAATGGTGGGAATCTGGATAAGAACTGATGGTTCCATTAGTAGTCTTTTATGGTTTCTAATCATTTATATAAGTAGACTGCAGGATTTGTTGATGTCTGACGTTGTCTGTGACAATAGAATACTTGTGGCTTCTTGCCTTGAGTATGAGGAGGAATTTTTGGTGAATAACTCTTGATTCCTTCGCTTGTAGCCATTACCTTGGTCTTTTGTAGGTTCTGATCTCAGTTGGCTTTTTGTCTTGATTGTCACTACTGATTTAAGGACTATCCCCTCTAGGATGCACAGGAAATCAAACTGAGATAACTAAAAATCCCAGTGCAACTGCACATGAGGTTGGAAGGAGATAAGTGAAGAGTCCAGTGCAGAGTAGAGCTTAATGATCGTCTCATGTTCAGGCTTGCTCATTCAATCTTGTTTTCCAAATACAAACATCATGTTGGGTATAATAGAAGTTGAAGAATTTGGACCCTTGGGAATGGGAGCATGTTTGATTGTTCCAGCATGATACCTTGGGTTCAAGTGAAGGTCATCTGCGGAGGGTCATGTTTTTCTGTGACCATTTATTAGTTTATAGGATTCTGTTGTTCTTTACCTACTTACCTTGAAATGCTAGCCGAGTTAGTGTATATAAATCTAAATATTTATTGGGGATTTCTTCCCTAATCATTTTGTACATTTTTATTTGTTAAGAACTTCTCATAATTTATTACAAAGATGAAAAAGAAAATAAGTATGCACATGCTTGCATATATTTTATTTACTTTCAGTAATATTTTTAATTGATGTTTGTTTTCTGTAACATTTACAACTTTTGCATGGAAACTTTACTATCAAAATCTTCTTTTTTTTTCCTCCTTTTTCTTAGAGAAACCTTTTGGCTCATTTCTCCCCCTGTTCCCCAATCATATCTGCAATCAGCAAACGATCTCAAAAGCAGCTGAAGAGAGACAAGGCTTTCAGACAGATATTTTCTTCAGTTATGCAAATATGAATAAATAACCAGTCAAGAATGCTAAGATAACATTAATTGGTATCTTCATTTTAAGCTGACCAATATCAATTCAAAGTTCATATATGCAGTACCATCTTGTTTTCTACATGAATAACACTATTTCTGTTGTCTTTGAAGTGATTGCTTATGTTATTCGACTTCAGGATTTATATATGAACATTGGGTTAGATAAATAAGGGATGGAAACAAATGACCATCTTTATTAGATGTAAGATTGCCAATTTGCCATGTTATACAAGAATGATCATCAGTGTAGGTATCATTTTTTTTTGAGCAGAAATAAAATATCTTCCCATGGAAGATTTCCTTTGTAATCTTTATTTCTTTTCTATGTCTAGAATCCCACTTCATCTTAATGGACTTATAGATAGTACTTAACCAAAATAACAGAGATGTAGAACTAAATGATAGAGTCCTGTAGAGCAAAATATAAAAAGCAAATGCTTGCTTTATGGCCATATATGATATACGTATACACAAATGATTATATGCCAAACTGGATTTATTAGGAAAAAACCAAGGGTACATTATCCAGAATGAAAGAAAAAGATCAAGTTACAAGCACATGATCTTACACTATGCAAAGCCATCCTATGAACCCTGTTGTTGCTATAGAGCCACCTTAACCTTTTATTTTGGCATGCAAGGAAAAATGATTTTGAAGAGGAAGCCAAGTATGGAATATGGATACCTTAAATGACATGGAAAACTGTGAAACGAATCCATTGCTATGTTGCCTTGAACTACAATGTTGAATAAATTCCAATTTCCGACTCTATTACGAAATTAAGCCCTGTGAAAGTGCTTATGCTTCAAGCCTTCAACCTATTGGAACCACAAATTCCAGTCGATGGATTCTATTTTCGCTTAAGAGGGTTGTATTCTACCTGGCAGTTATAGGAAAATAGGACTATACTGCCATTCTCTACTATATCAATATATTATCATTACCTGCATTTTTAATATCCTTTTGTCCCAAGTTTCTTGGAAGATTGTTGGTAAAGCAAGCCATAAAACTCAGTCATGTCCTCAAACCAATATCCTGTTAGAACATGAAGCCTAAAGTATTTGAAGAGAAAGCTAAAAAAAGTTGAGCAAGCTTGAAAAAGCTATTCTTATCACAGACCATGAGGATGTATTTTTGTAAGGGCTGCTGTCTATGTGAATATCTTATCTTAGGAGTAGTGCTCGATTCTATATTTTCTTTCATGGATTTAGGACTCATTGTATTTAAAAGAAGATTTAAAATAGGATATCATTAAGCTTTTCTCTACTCTAATCCTGCCATAGAGGATGTAGACATCTTTCAGTTTTCTCTGAGGGAGATATTATTTCAATTTCCATTCTCTACTTCATTCAAATCTTTTGGTTTCTTTCTTTCTTTTCCTTTAAGTGGGTAAACCTGGGTTTCTCCCAACTAAGTCATTTACTTTTTTTTTCTATTTTTCTCAATTCATATTCCACCCTTTTTTTGAATTTTCTGCAAATTGGTTTCCAAGTCAAGGTCTTCAGTCTTAAAATAATTTTATCACTTGTTCATTTTGAAATAAAAAAGATAGGGTTTTTCTTCGTAGAAAATGTACAAAAGAAAGGAGGGGTTTTTGCTTCAAAGACAAGAAGGAAGACAGAATCTTGAAGACATGCACGGATACATATAGTGCCAGGGTAATCTTCTCAATCACCTCGGCAGTTGAACTGAAAAACAAGGTATCTGTTCTGCTTAAATCATGCAGGCATGCTTCCTATCTCTTCATAGAGTGTTTAGTTGCCTACTAGACAACAGGCTTGATTGGTCTGGACACTTATTTTCCTATTCCTTATTGATTTCATATTTCTTCATTATAAGCTCAAAGGTGCTGACAGTCCCTGTCCCAGTGTACTTTACTGAAGAATCCAACTCTTATTAGCATTTTTGTAGAAGGCCCTTCAATTTCAACTTGCTGAAAGTCTCATGGGTTCTTAAACTTTCCATTGAAAGTATGACTCTGTTGGATGCAGGTGGTGACCTCTGCGTAGACTTGAGTAACTTGTTCCTTACCTCTGTCTCCTCCCCATCTAAGAAAGAGGTAAGATTCTTTGGAGATGTACGAAAGCTGCTGTTCTTTGGTGTGTGTGGGAGGTGAGAAATGTGAGATTGTTCATTGTTCAATGATAGGGAAAGGATGGTTGAGGCAACTATTGAAAATATATGAATCAAGGTAGCCCATTGTATGAAGACTATGGAGATTTTTTCACCTTACACTATGGATGACATCTTGAGAAATTGGAGACAGGTGGCCGGCTCTTCTTCTGGAGCTTTATTAGCATTACTCAATGGATTGCTCCCTCACCATGTCATAAAATTAAATTATGATGACTGCAGTTTGGGAACCCGGGTTTTGTGGATGTGGGGGAATATTCAGAAATGAAGGTCACAACATTGCAATCTTTTCTGGGCTGATAGGAATGGGTGATTCAACCAAAGCAGAATTTATGGGCAACCTTGCAAGGACTAAGCAGCCAGCCAAGATTGCTGAATCTGATAAATCATATTGCTGAATGTTCTAACCAGGAATTAAGAGGAAGCTGGGAACAATTATGAAGTGGATATTTTGGTCTGCAAAAGGTTTTAGCAGATGGCCTCGCAAAGGGGCCATGAGAGATCATATGTACAGGGGCATTACAGCATAATGGGATGATATAAATGTAATAATAGGGGTTAGTTGAGGCTAACCACCTTTGTAACTTTGTAATCTGCTCTTTTCTATAATAATAACATTTTTGAACAGTTATCCATAAAAAGAAGTATCACTGTTGGTTTTGCTTTTTGAGTGGAAGTTCCTCTCTAGTCACCTTTTATTGAATGGTGTGTCAATCCATCCACTACGATTCTTTCCTTCATGTATTGCAACAGTGCAGCATTCTGGCATCCTGACTATGCTAAAGGTTATCATTGGCTTGTCCAAGTCGAAGTCCATAATACCCAATTCTTGTACTGGTGTTTTTAGCATGGAGTGTCTGCTCTCTAACTTGGACCTGTATTTTCACTCTTTATCATCCCAAGATTTGACCATCAAACAATGACCTCAACCAAATTGAAACCTGTCTCCTGCATGAGAAACTCTTATACTTTAACAACTTATGGTATATAGCAAATGTTATTTCTTGGGGATGCTTTCCTATATTACTGAACGTCCAGAATCATGTGCACTTAACTGCTAATGAACCATCTATCTTGTGGAGATTCATCTCAATTAGCATTCAGATGGCTTTTAATACCATAGTCAACCCAAACACCTGGAACCTACTAGAGGCATCTAGGGATTTATGCCATAACATTTTAATGCAAAATTTTAGAGGGAATAAATTAATTGGATTACCAAACCAATTGCTAATTTAATATCTAATCCTGTAAGGGAAAACAGATGACTTCACTGGGAGTTCTTACCTGTCTGCACTAATCTTAATGTAGCTTTTTTGTAATCAGCCACTAATTTACTTCTTTATGAACCTATTGGAGTTTCAATTACTAACCATCTTTTAATCTATCCACAGATTTATTAGATACTCCCTTCGGGATGGATTAATGCCATTTCTGATTTAGCAACTTTAATCAGAGAAATATGCCAAAGTATTAGATGCATTTCTTGGATCTGTAAAATCAGATAGTATTTGAATAGTTGGTTGGGTAGATCTGTAGATGGTTT